TGACAGAGATGTCTGCTGTGGTGGGTTGGGAGGTGGAGGTGGCTGGGCTGGGACTGGAGGTGGGATGGAGATGGCTGGGCTGGGACTGGAGGTGGGATGGAGATGTTCACCAGGCTGGGATGGAGATGTCTGGGCTAGACCTAGAGTTGGGATGGAGACACTGACCAGGCTGAGCTTGGTCTGGCGTTGGGACGGAGATGTTCCTCAGGCTGGGATGAAGATGCCCAGGCTTTGTCAGAGCTGGGGCTCTGGCTGATGGTGACCCTCCTCCTCCCCAGTGACATGGTGGCCCCGAGCTCAACCTTCTGCAAAGTCTACACCCTGACCCCCTTCCTGGCCAACAACCGGGAGAAGCGGGGCCTGGCGCTGGACGGGAAGCTCAAGCACGAGGACACCAACCTGGCCTCCAGCACCCTGTGAGCCCCCCAGCCCCCTGCCTCCTGCTCCCCCTGCCCCACAGGGGGGGCCTGGGGGAGGACCCAGCCCTGGTGGGCATCCAGCTCCTGCTCCAAGGGTGGAGGAGACCCAGTGGGGTGAACCTTCAGGAGGAGGAGGTGGGGGCTGCTCCCCTGGGGACGTCCCCTTGATCCCCACCTGCTCCTTCCTCCAGGTTAAGGGATGGAGCCAACAAGGAGATCCTGGGCATTATTGTCTCCTACAAGGTGAAGGTGAAGCTGGTGGTGTCCCGAGGAGGGTGAGTGTTGGGGACAACTGGCCCTTCCTGGGGACACACCAGCCTGGCCCTTCCTGGGGACACACCAGCCTGGCCCTTCCTGGGGACACACCAGCCTGGCCACTGCCCAACTGGGTGGGTCATGAATCCTTCCAACCACCCCACCCACCCCCTCCTCTCTCCTGCAGCACCTCCTGCAGGATGGGGCCCTTGGAGCTCTCCCATGTCACAGATGGGGGCCCATCACCACCCCCCAGACCTCTGGTGGGACTCAGCAGCCTGAGGGGGGGAGAAGTTTTTGGGAGGGTGTCACATGTCCTTGGGGTGGGGTGACTAATGTGTTGTCTCCTTTGGTCCCCACCAGCCTGCTGGGAGACCTCGCCTCCAGGTAACACCTCCACTGCTCCCCCCACAGGGCCCCCCCAGCCCTTCAGTCCCCTCTGCTGCCACCCCAACCCCACATGTCTCCTTGGGATGCCACCACTGAGGTCACCAGCTCATCACCTGCAGCCCAGAGCCAGCACAGATGGGCTCATCTGAATGATTTTCCTGGGTTTTTTTTTTAGTCCACGTTTGGTTTTGTTGCCTTTATCTCCTGGTTAATTTCAATATTGAAGAACATTCATTTCCAGATGATCTTCTGGCAGCTCCTTGGGATGAGCACAGGAAATGGAGAAGGTTCAAGTCATGGCAACAAAACATGGGCAGATAATATCAGAAGTTAATGATGAGATCAAGGCAACTACTTCAGACTTGGGCTGACCTGCCTTGAGTTGACCCACGTAGAGTTGGCCTCTGTAGACTTGTCTGGTCTAGTTGATCCCATTGTAGTTGGCCCTTGTAGAGTTGACCCACAGAGAGCTGACCCATGTTGAGTTGTTGTCCTGTGTAGTTGACCTGCATGGAGTTGTCTCACGTAGAGTTGACCAACGTAGAGTTGACCCACACAGAGTTGACCTGTGTTGTCCCTTGTAGAGTTGACCCACGTAGAGTTGACCTCTGTAGTCTTGACCTGTGTAGTTGATCTGCACAGAGTTGACCCACTTCGAGTTGACCTGTGTAGACCTGACCCATGTAGACCCTGCACAGAGCTGACCCATGTTGGGTTGTCCTGCATAAAGTTGGCCCACGTAGAACTGTCCCACCTGGAGTTGACCCACACAGAGTTGTCCCACATAGAGTTGACCTGTGTTGTCCCTTGTAGAGTTGACCCATGTAGAGTTCACCCATGTAGAGTTGACCCACATTGAGTTGTCCCATGTAGAGTTGACCTGTGTAGACTTGACCTGTGTAGTTGACCCATGTAGAGTTGTCCCATGTAGAGTTGACCCGTGTAGACTTGACCTGTGTAGTTGACCCATGTAGAGTTGACCCATGTAGAGTTGACCCATGTAGAGTTGACCTGTGTAGACTTGACCTGTGTAGTTGACCCATGTAGAGTTGACCTGTGTAGACTTGACCTGTGTAGTTGACCCATGTAGAGTTGACCTGTGTAGTTGACCCATGTAGAGTTGACCTCTGTAGACTTGACCTGTGTAGTTGATCTGCACAGAGTTGACCCATGTAGAGTTGACTCACGTAGAGTTGACCCATGTAGAGTTGACCCACCGTGTCCCACGTAGAGTTGTCCCACCCCATCACCTGTGGGTGCTGCCTGGGACAGTGGGCAGAGCCTGGAGGTGGCTCCTTGGGTGCTGAGCACGTCCAGCAGTGGGGAGAAGAACCTCTGGGGCTTCCCTGCTCTTCCCCCCTCCTGGGGGGGAGGGTCCCACGGGGACCCTGGTGCCCACTCCCCCTTCCCATGGAGCTCTGGGGCTGCAGGTGAATGACACCCACACCACACGTGGCTGTGGGCTCAACCCCATCCCAGGAAGAGATGGGGTCCCCTTGGGACCCCCCATATCC